AGATCCTCGCGCTTTTCAAGCACGCTCAGTCAGAGGGCTATGGTATGCATTCTGACCAGCCCAGCACCCGGGGACCATCACTAACTCGGACTTCTGCACAGCCATCCCCGCCATCAACGTCACTTCCTCCTCCACAGTTGTCGCTGCCCTCGAGGCTGCCCGCGACGCAAAGTCTCCCATCATCCTGCAACTCAGCAATGGAGGTAAGGAATGCTTAAATAGACTATTTATGAGATATGCACTAATCACCTCATTTAACAGGCGCCGCATACTTTGCAGGCAAGGGCGTAGCCAACGGCAAGCAGGAGGCCAGCATTGCTGGTAGCATTGCTGCTGCCCACTACATCAGGTCCATTGCCCCCGCATACGGCATCCCCGTTGTTCTCCACACAGATCACTGCGCCAAGAAGCTCCTGCCTTGGTTGGATGGCATGATGGATGCCGACGAGGCCTACTTCAAGGCTCACGGAGAGGCTCTGTTCAGCTCGCACATGATTGGTAAGACAAAAAGCAACTGCGTCTCGGTATATTCACTTTGCTAATCTTCTTTGCCAGATCTCTCTGAGGAGCCCAAGGAGTGGAACATTGGTAAGTACATCGCCCAAATACAGAAATGAAAAGAAGAAGCGTTGAGTGAACACACGCTGACATTCACCTTCAGCTACCACCAAGAAGTACCTCGAACGCGCTGCGCCAATGAAGCAGATGATTGAGATGGAAATCGGCATCACCGGAGGAGAGGAGGATGGTGTCAACAACGAGGACGTCGACAACAACTCCCTCTACACTCAACCCGAGGACATCTACGACATCTACAAGGAGCTGTCTGCCGTCTCTCCTCTCTTCTCCATCGCCGCCGGCTTTGGCAACGTCCACGGTGTCTACAAGCCCGGAAACGTCAAGCGTGAGTATCAGTTCACCGGCATATTTTTCAAGACATGCTAACATTGTGGTTCCCAGTCCGCCCTGAGCTCCTGCAGAAGCACCAGGCATACGTTAAGGAGAAGACCAACTCCAAGGAGGACAAGCCCGTTTTCCTTGTCTTCCACGGCGGTAGCGGTAGCTCTGTCGATGACTTCCGTCAAGCCATCTCATACGGTGTCGTCAAGGTCAACCTCGACACTGACATGCAATGGGCCTACCTCTCCGGTATCCGGGACTACATTCAGTCCAAGAGCGGTTACCTCCAGACCCAAGTGGTATGTTGAATTTGGAATAACCTGTGCATTTACAGTACCTAACGTTCTAATAGGGTAACCCCGACGGTGATGACAAGCCCAACAAGAAGTACTACGACCCCCGTGTCTGGGTCCGTGAGGGTGAGAAGAGCATGTCTCAGCGCATCAAGGTCGCCCTTGACGACTTCTACACTACTGGCAAGGCTTAAATAGCTCCACCAGAGCCGGAGTTGGCATCAAACTCGGCCTCGCAGTGAGGCAGGCGTTTGCGAATGAGCATAAGCTAAAACTGCAAGCATTGATATAAAGAGTCAACAGTCCTGGTGATGAGGTTGGCGAATGGTGCAGATGTATGTAATAGACTACGAAGCAATGTCCAGATACGAAAGAATGTAAAACATATTGATCAACTCTCTTGTCATCTCAATAACAGCATGACCGTGGTGTACAGTTATAGAAGCTTTAATTGTCGAGGCTGATGGATAGATTTGTTGGATATGTAGGGCTAGCATAGTCCCGACAAAGAGTGCAAGGCCGTAATTTCTCACGTGTGTAGCCTCATCCGGTTTCCCATTAATCTGGCACCTCTGGCTCGTACTTCTGGTTTGCTGCTTGGGACTGTGTAGTGCACATTTCGGTGTTCGTCACGTGACCATGCGCTTGCTAAAGATAGATTTCTAACATGGCAGTATTGCTAGTTATCCCTGATTTGAGCATACAGACTATGTTCTGACAACTAATTAGATCGCCTTTTTTTTCTTTCCCTTCGTGCACGGAAACCCCATTTTTCTAGAATCCGATCATAACATGCAGCTGAACTTGCAAACGAAATCAGAGCTACTTTGACAAATAAAGATTAACCTACTTGCTTTCTATTTTTTTTCTACTAATTCTTCCCAAAAGACGGACATGGTAATGCTTGTGTGTAATCTACTCAAGTCTCTTTGCTTGCCTAATTTTTGTTGTGTACGTGTCGAGTCCCACTTTCTTCCGGAATAGGTAGTAGAAGGTTACTGTGGAATGGGCCAGATCAATCCAGCCCGCTCTCGTCTTATGATGCTGGAACCATGGCGAATTCTTTTTTTTGGGGGGGGGGGGGGGCTTGTGGTACAAGGTGCTTCCCTGCGTATGATTCGTATCAATATTGGTATCGGGCCTTTGTTGCTGATGTTATAGCTTAGGTGATGATGGTTGTTGGTTGTAGGATAAGTTTGATGAATAAAAGTCAGGGCAATTTTTCATTCTTGCATCTACATTGGTAGTAGCGTTGTGTATATTTCAGAAGGATATCAATGATGACATGAGCAGATTGACAATGTACTATTGATTGCTCCACTGTTTTGGTTTTTCTTGAGGCCATATGGGCAGCTTTGCACCAAGGTACTAGAAGAAACTTCAAAATCATTACGAACTGATTACCGCATTCGTCGCGTTGGTATCGAGTAGCCCGTTTATTGTGCGATTCAAATCAGATATGGGGCTGCTGCCCTTATGATCTGTGGTGCTTAGCTCCGCCTGATTTGCGACGTACAAGAAGTCAAGATTCTGACCGACAGGGGTGAGCCTTTTAGTAGTCGTTGATTTATTCAGCAAGTGTTGAACTTGGTGGGGGTCCTGCGGTCGGTTATGGCGTTCCTGTTCGAAATCATCTCACATCTACGTCTTCAGACTCTTCTTTCATGATTGCTCGAAGCTGGTTGTCGGATTGCCAGCTCAATCATGGGCATTCTGAGGCTATTCCTGCACTCACTACGCAGTATCTCGATGGTGTCCGACCAGCCCGCATGGTTGATGTGGCAGCTTTCCAACACCCGTCCCAGGATGCTCGTCTAGTGGGAATGGATCAAGCGTGCACATATATAGCCTTAGGCTACTGTTGGGGTCTTGACGTCTTGATCCGTCCAACGTGACAAAGCAGGATACTCTGTCATCACGGCTGGCGCACATATCCTACAATGACTTGCCAAGAACATTTCAGCATGCAGTCACAACAACTCGGAGCCTGGGATATCGTTACTTGTGGTTTTACGCATTTTGACTCGTTCAGGAATCTTTACAAGATTGGGAGCGGGAATCACAAAAGATGGGTGTCATATACAGCCAGGCTGTTGTCATGATTGTCGCGACTGAAAACCAAGGTGTGCATGAAGGTTTTTTCAATCGACAAACATGCAGCGAGATTTCTTCATGCTGGAAGAATATGGTAGTGAGATGTACTACAAGGAATGGTAAGCCTACTGAATTGCTGCTCTATGGGGCCAATTATTTTCTCAGTGGCCCTGCAGCTCATGTGGCTGCAGGTGTACTAGTACAAAGGACATGGGCTTGTCAAGATAGAATGTTGTCTGCTCGCATACTTCACTACAAAAACAAACATATCTACTGGGAATGCAGACTATCAGCCCATCTTTCTCGGATAACACCGACTAGATTGGTACAGGTCCCAGCCTTGCGCTGGAGCTTGCTGCTTATGATATCGACGACCGCGATCTGCCAAATCGAATTCTCAAACGGTATCACGAAATACTGCATACACACACACTCTATTCGAACCGACAACTGACATATGCCTGCCCGCAATTTCAGATCCTGCCAAACTTGTCCGAGGCAGCATGAACATGACATATCTTGCTGGTTTCGGGAAAGAGGAACTTCAATTTGGATTGTATTAGGGGGTGGTGGATATAGTGCCTTGTTCAACAGTCAATGTACATTCCTCTTGGTCTTGGGCGTCTTATGAGACGCCATTGTATTGGCCAATGACTGTAATTGGGGGCCTCTCACCCGTACCGTTCGATTTGGACGATTTCAATGTTGAAATTGCTATTAGCGACAGGTCCGGACGTGCGATTGGAGAGTTCTTGAAAATCACCGGCCTGGTATGTGTAGTACCGGTTGAATTTCGGGTGGGTTCAACCCATCCGTTCGGTTACTTGACTTTCGAGGCCAATATGGGCGATTGGAGCTCAAAGATCTCAGACTCTGATGGAGTCTGAATGGTTATGGCGTCGTTAGATCGAGATCCTGGCACAGATGTTGTGCACGCGTTGATACATGCGAAAGCTGAAAATCGAGGAATTCACGATGAGGAATGGAGCATGCTGTTGGTGATGCGTGCTAGGGGGGCTGGCGATATATCTGAAAGAATCGGGATCGCAAAGGCGTTTCACAAAAATATTACAGACGAGATTTCTTGGCTGAGAAAGTTTAAACAACGACCCATCACGCTTATTTAGACTTAATGATGCCTTCTCTATCGATAACCAATAATGAAATTGAATGTTTGATTGAAAAGAAATGCACTATTTAATCATACAGTGGCTCTAACAGGTCCTAGTCAAAAGGAAAGTCACAAAACCTGCATGTGGTCCTGGGTAATCCGAAGCCGAGCTTGGAGAAAGGAATAACCCTCGGGGATTCTTTACGCAAAATTAGGATAGGGAAGCTATGGCCATGTGTATGAAATATATTTCTCTTATCCAAACCTTGTATAGATCTTCAAAAACACGTCGTATTCTCAGCCTGTCAATGGGTTGTATCTAACCCTGTTCTATAGTTCTGGGTCTCTTAGAGTGGATCCTAAGGATCTGGTTATTAGAAGGAGCTACATAGTATACTTCATTTACGCTTGCAGTCCGTCACTTACATGCTAAATACTGTTGTAGATATACGATCCTTACGCCTCACTATGCGAAGCACTGTGTGGTTCATTGAAAGTTCTGTCATGGCCTATCGTTCTTAGTTATGCTTATCATGATCTCTTAATCAAACTCATGCAATCCTTTAGTTAAACACAAAGCTGTGATTTCCTACAAAACCTAGTTATTTCGACCTCATCTTCAGCCATTCAGGCTTCTCCATGTCTTCGATAAAATAATGACACCAATACTCATATCTGCAATCCTCATCTCCTTCCAACACGACTTCAGCACCATTCTCAACAAGCATATCCACAACTTCGCGGTGGCCTTGCCTATGAGCCTCAGTAAGTGCGTCCCCAAATTCCCCACTCTGCGCATTGATTTCAACGCATTTTTCAAGCAGCATCTTTACAATCTCTTTATAGCCATATTTTGAAGCTATATAGAGTGCTGTGTTAGACCTTCTAATTCCCGCATAAGGGTCGGCGCCTTTGTCGAGTAGCATCTTCACAATCTTTTCGTGGCCTCTAGATGAAGCTA